ACGGCATTATCATGGATGGTAATTCGTCAACAGATTGCGTCGGCCGACTGGTTATCCCCTGTCTGTGGGCTCCCTTTAGGCATGAGGAGGAATGAAAGACATTAGAAATGTTCTTTACATGTGTTCTTCAGATCTAGCGGTCAGTATATCCATGCACTATATGGAAACACTGGGTTCATTTCCCGGCGGAGGACAAATTTATCAAGGCATTTTATTCACAAAGGAAAATAATGATTACGGAAATACACCTTGCACACACACACACACACACAAAAGGGGGGAGGCAGTTCTATATATCCCGTTCTACTGGACCAATTGCGACTTAGGATATATATCACATTTATATACAGCATTGTTCTAGCATAGCTACTTTGACACAAAAGCGGACTTTTTCTGAAATAAAATACCAATTGTTTTTTCCATATTTCGATTCTACGACTCAAATTATGCCAGAGTGCTAATTTTGTGAAAATCGCACGAGTACTTTTAAAAAATTAGCTCTCAAACTTTTAGCTCCTCCATGTTAATTGAATTTGGTATATATTTATTATATCTCTTTTTTTGCTAAACTTATTTGAATCATCCTTTCACATTTCGAAATTTAGGCTCATTCCAAATAAAGTTCACCCAATTTTTATGATTTTTTTAAAATTTGTATTTTTAAATAATTTTATAACTAGGTTAATTCAAGTTTTCGAAAAACATTTTGAATTACAACCTATAAAATTTTTACCAATATCTTACAGTAGACATATTTCTAAGTATAACTGCAAAAAATTAGAGTTTTGTATTCAAACTTTCCTCAGATATACTTGAATTTACATAATGGTGCTTTTTGAAATTTGACATATTGTTTAAGCAATAATAAAGCCAAATGTGGTTTACGCACTTTGTGAAAATTATTCGAATGTATGAACGATGACCATTTTTTTCGCTCGTGTACAACTAAAAAAAGGGAAAGGAAAATAGATTGCTATAAATTAAGAAGTTCGCCAATTGAATTATTCTTGGCACAAACTGAAAAAAAATGCGCCAAGATAAATTTTTGAGTTTCTCCATAAGTTTCTTACCAAAAATTACAAAATTTAATATCTAGGCATGATTTGAGTCGTAGAACCGAAATATGGAGAAAGATTGGTATGTTATTTCAGAAAAGTCCAATTTTCTGTTAAAATACCTAGGTTATAACAATTCTACATATAAATCTAATATATTTCCTAAGTCGCGTTTTGGAAACATGGAAAACGCAAGTTAAATTTCGTCAATCGGCCCAGCAGAACGGGAGATATAGAACTGCCCCGACCAATCTTGTTGAATCGTTATATCAATACATAAATTTCTATTTAAAATTATAGGAAATTTTCAAGTTTAGTCCATTCAAAAAACGTAATGTTGGCTACAAAATCTGGACGAATTTATAACATAGAGATAAAAATTTTGTACTGGGTTTTAAAGCCAAATATATTGTAGTAGCTTACTGGAATTCTATAAAAATCGGCTTAATATTGTAACAAAGTAAACTTTCCTATACGAAACTGCATCCCCGCTTCTCTGCTCGGTGACGAAACTTCCAGAAAAGTTGCCGTTTATTTTCGCAAGGATGTGGGAACATTACCAGCTATCAAAGTGGAGAAAGTCTAAAAAAATATATTAAAAATAAGTCAGTATATTCTTTAATTTTACTAGCCACTTTTGTTGTTAGCCTTCGTTTTCGGCTGCTTGCTTGATTTTTTTTTCTTTTGTTAAGTTTTTCTTTCAATAAGAACTTCATTTCTGGTAAATTCGCAAAGAAAGATGTCTAAACAGGTAAGATGAGGACTTTCTGCATTCCACGGCTAGGTCCATTTCTACCAGTTCGCAATCCTAGAAATCGAGGATTGCAGTCGATGATTGATAAAGTGGAAGTTTTATCTTGTTGAACGAAGACTTGAAACTTTCTTCTTCTCGCCATCGACAGAACAGCCGGCCCACTGGCTTAGGTACTCTTCAACCTGTTGGATCCACCGAATTAAATCAAATACAAATAAATAAAAAGTCTAAAGCTTAGTACTGTGTCTCCTGGAAATTGACCACTTAAAGTGAGGAACAGTGAAAGAAGAACCAGAAGATGGAGAGAAAGTGCATGGTGGGGACACTGTTGTTGAGACTATTTGAAAAATGCTGATGACCATCTATCTTGAGCACTGAGAAGTTGCTGTTATTTGTAATGAGGTACTGACATTGTCGAGCACAATGTGCTTATAGTTGTAATGCAATCTAACAGTTATACAGTTAAATTTAAAAAAAATGATGCTGTAGATAATATATTACCAAGAGCTTTGCAAATTGGTAATATGTTACGTACTTCTGCCAATTCAATACAAATAGTTACTTTTCGCTATTATATTATATGTTAGGCACATCAATATAAAAGGACAGAATATAGATACAGGTTCAGATGTAAAGATAAAATCTGTACAAATATGTATACAAGTACATTACAGATCATAGAGCAAAACAAATTACAAATTAAGCTAATAAAGCTGTGCATGAATGTGCGTTTACATTATGCAAACAATTAATGGCAAGTGGCAAAACTTCAGACTCGTATATCCATATTATGCCCTAATAATCATGACAAATTGTATTCGTCTTAATCTCCAAGACAGACGTTACTAAACTGAAGCCACAAGTTCAGCATCAGGGAGGGCATAGAAATCTAAGAGAAAAATAATGTTCATCAGTTATGTTTGTTTTTATAAGAATTAGAATTATAAATTTTATGTTTAAAGTTTATTATAATTATTTTCTGAATAAAATTAATTCTGTTATTTATCACAATAGACCAGAAAAATCAAAAGTGAAAATACCACTGACCCGAAACATTTTCTTAATGTACACATTTTGGTTGATTTTGATTCCCAACCAAAAACGATAGCCGGTGCTTGAACTAAAGAACTAATAAATAGTTATTAAAATAGACAGTTCACGCCTTAAAACTAATTCATCTACCGTTCTTGTTATCCTGTCCATATGACATGGAACAATGGTTGCCAGACCCTACTCCAAAGAGAGGTTGGACTTCTACTTCCCACCCCAAGTTTGAGAGAGATCACCTCAAGGGGGTGATCCAGGGATCTCCTACCCGTCTCCCCTTCCCCCAAACCACACGAAAGGACATTCGGCTTGCCGCATATTTAGAGTGCCCTCATGCCGCTCGAGCACTATACATTTACAAACAACCTTGTCTTCTCCGGGATTCGAACACGGGTCCTTAGGTACCGTACTAGGATCCCCTAGCCACTATACCATCTGGGTACCATATACTATACAACTCATTCCTCTCATAACAGCTTAAAAGTAACATCAAAACAGTTCGCAAAATGCAAATTATAAAATTATGTGTGTGTGTGATTATTGCAAACCCTCGAGGGCTATGTGCCTAAGTGAAGGAATGCCTTCGTGGAGGACTTTCTAAGGGAAACTGACTCGTACACACGTACACACGTTACACATGAGAAAAATCACGAAAACTCCCATGCAGCCAGCCCGTTCGCGGGATTCGAACCTCGGACCGAACTACCAGTGTTCAGCGACTTTACCACTCGGCCGCTGGTGGGCCAATTATAAAATTAGATCATAATGATAACTCTTATAACATCCTGTTATTTGTACTGTTGAAATCTTAAAATTGTACATTTTAAAGTACATTCCATATCGTTGTCGCCCTCACTTTCAAGACAGAGAATAATTAAATTAAACAATTTGATATTTTTCAGTGTTTTCAAATACTGAGTTATAAACTTTGTGAACAAAACATGCGCCAGGAGAGGAAAAAAAACTGAACCCTTTCTTACAACTCCAAGTAGCAACAGTTTTTACAGGGGAAGATATCCGGAGCAAATCCGGGTATTTTCATCAATTTACATCCTAAATATAAATAATATATAGAATATGTATTAAAAATAAGTATGGCAAGAGTTAACATTCTGTAAACGTAAACATCAATGGGTTGAGTGCGTCCACGCCACACATACTTTTTTCTCCTCGCTTTTCTATTAATGAATAAATGAATTAGAAAAAGAGACGGGTATGCTTATTTCAAAGTAAGGAAAATAAATTTCGATGCGCATGTTTTAGCGATGATAACAAAATGATAAAAAAGTGAAACTCAGCGTAAAATAAATAACAAATTTATTCAAGTAATTTCTGAAAATAATTAAACATAACATTAAAATTAATTGCATAAACATGCAGAGAAAATAAAAAAAAAATGGAATATACGTTTATGGATTTATTTGAGCTTGTTTCATTTACTAATCAATTTAGTAAATTAGTAGAGTAGACATATGTGTATATCATTGCATAATACATTCAAAAGTACTGTGAGACCTGTAAAGGAGTCAATATGCATCTTTAATTGGTCTTCGTATGTGAAAAAAAATGAAAAGGGGGAAAAAACTGGATAAAGAAAGAAAAAAAAAAACTGCACAGCTAATTAAAATTTTGCAATGTGCTGGGATCTCATTTGTTCCGGATATTTGGAGTTCTACCGTTTGTGTTTTTCTTAGTATTATTTAGTCCTAAAAATACCAGCGAGACAATGACAGCTCCTTTAAACACTGGAATTAGTCAGCATAATTAAATATTTGTATTTTATCGATGAAACAGAAAATTAAATTAATATTTTAGATATAAATACTCATATTTTCTCATCCTAAAAAATTAAAGGTGGCTTATAGGGAGTAATTTTAATGAGAGAATAACATTTTTCATTTTCATAAATAAAATATTTCTAAAGGGAAATCTGCTGAATAAAACTGAGCGACGTGCTAAGTCTTAAAAAATATTCCCAGACTATGTCTATTAATTTACGATACGCTCTTTAGAAAAATTCCGTCGAGTGAGAGTAACTCTCTGCAGTTAACCCCTCCTCTGCGACATGCTGCAACCCCTCGAGGGAAGATTGGTGTCGTCCGTATCTTTGAGCGGCTCGCTCCGACCTTCTGCCGTTTCATCCCCATCCTCTCACAGCACATTTCGTCTCACCGCCTCCATTTCTTCACTTATCGTCTCCACAATAAATAATCTCGTTCTCAGATTTCGCACACTCTCTCTTTTCACTGCTTAAGGTGTTTGTGGTCGTAGCAGTGTTTTCATTATCCCTAATCATAGGATTAAGCAAGGATTACGACAAATCTATCCACACGGCGGCTCCTGTGTTGTGCGTGTGGGGGAAACAACAAACGCCGGCGAATGATCCTCGCTTCCAGTGCTATGGTGCGGACTGTTTCGTTATTAGGCAATGTGCGTTTCAGTGTTATTGCACGAAGTCCATCAGAAATGTGACAGCAATGAGTGACATACGTTGAATGATTGTGTGCCAGTGATAATCACTTTTATCGGATTAGTTTTAAAAGAACAGTGTTTGTGTTATTCTCATCCCATGTGTTACTCTATGCCGGAGCAGTGTTACTTGTTGACATGAGCCATGAATCTTCTCGCTTCAAAAAAAGTCGGATCCGAATCTTTTTACACCGACAGCTTCAATTACGTAGGGTATTATAAAATTTAAGAAAATCCGTTACCAGGTATGGACAGCGTAAAGGCAACTGCTGAGATAAATGGAAGTAGAAGGCAAACCAAGACAACGTGTCAGCGGAAAAATTACGAATATGGGCCCCAGTGATCAACTAGCTAAAGAACTTAGCCTAAAGATCACCGCGGGAGGGGTGTGGAGAGGAGGAAGAACCATGTTCTTCGCGCGAGGAGGATTCTACCTCCACCCACCGTCACCGGTTCCCCCGCCCCTTTGTTCACCTTTACTTTATAATCACATAAATAGTACGCACTGGAAAAAGGACAATCTACGTAAGAATGGCACAATACATAGGTAGGCCTCATTCTTCATAGTCCCGTAGAACTAGACAAGAAAAGGGTTGAGAGGGCCACAAATGTTTTAATTATTAATTCCTGAATTCTTCCTTTTTAAAAATTCTTTGAATGTGATAAATGTAACTCTTTTTCCTATCCAATGGGAGATGACGATGGGGTCCAACATCTAACTGATAGTTTTTCGAGGAAAGTGACAGCCTTCCAAGGTGCCAAAAGGTGATGTCATATTCTTGACCGCGGTTAAAAACTAGCCATGAAGAAGATTCCACTGAGGGCCGCGCGAGAAGCGGGTAGGATGGTTAAATACACCCAGTGTTCCCCCCAAGAAATGCAGCTGGATGATGATTTGGAGGATATCGCGATAGTGAGCAACGCGGCACCTGAGAGTGTTAAGTACGGAAGTGGGTCGCTGACGGCCAACGGGCCGCGCGTCGTACCCGGCATCATCACGACGACGGGTACGACGGACCGCTTGCAGAGCGCGGGCCGCAGCGTCAGCCATACTCGCATCCATACTGCCTCGCCCGCTTTGTACGGGACCAAATCCTCCGAGAATTTGAAATCTGGTTCTAGGCAATCTCTTTTAGAATCTGTGAGCAGCCGCTTCCTGGGGGGCACAGGGTTGACCTATGGGGCAAAACGCCGGTCCAGGGACTCGACCATGGCCTTCGTGAACAGGGCTCACGTGAGCAGTGAACTCGAGATTCCACGCAAGACGAGAGACCAACGGAAAAAAGAAATCAAACGTGAATTCGAAAAGTGGGAATCTTCCACATCTGCTGGAAGCGCCGAGAGGGCCAGCTGCAATTGGTCATTTGTATTTGATCCCTCTGGACGTCTCTGCTATTACTGGTCCATGGTAGTCAGTGTCGCCTTCCTGTACAACTTCTGGGTAATGATATACCGCTTCGCCTTCCAGGAGATCAACAGGTCCACTATAGGGGCCTGGTTCACATTCGACTATCTGGCAGACCTACTGTACGCATTAGACATCGCCTTCCATTTTCGGACAGGTTACCTCGAAGAAGGCGTGCTTCAAACAGATTCAGTGAAATTACGGCAATTCTACATGAATTCCACCATGTTCTACATCGACTGTCTGTGTCTCCTTCCACTGGATGTTCTTTACCTGTCTATAGGCTTCAATTCGGTTTTACGATGTTTCAGGTTAGTGAAGATCTACAGATTCTGGGCGTTTCTGGACAGAACGGAACGTCACACGAACTATCCTAATGTATTTCGAGCCTTGAGTTTGACACACTACGTTCTGGTGATATTCCACTGGAATGCCTGTTTTTACCACATCATCGCGACCAATGGCGGTTTCGGGTCTCGGGACTGGTTCTTTCCTAGTGAGGGCAATTGCAAGGACACCATGTGCGAGTACTTGCACGCTTTCTACTGGAGCACACTAGCTCTCAGTACAATAGGGGAACTTCCCCGACCTAGGACTAAAGGCGAGTATTTCTTCTTAATTCTGGAGCTCACCATAGGTCTCTTCTTGTTTGCTGCCGTGCTTGGACACGTTGCCAATATAGTCACCAATGTCAGTGCGGCCAGGAAGGAGTTTCAAGGTGAGATATCGATTTTACATTTTTCTTCTGTGTTACTTTATACTTTGAAATGGAAATCTGAAGTTCGGATAGGAAATATGGGAATATATAAGTCTTTTTAGAAAATAAAATTTTTAATACTAATGAAATTGCAAGGAAGATACGTCAGTCTAAAATTTAAAACTAGGTGACACAGCAGTTTTAGTTTTGTTTCGATTTTTAATAACACTTTCTTGATTTCGAGGGTGATCAGACATGTGTTCTCTTCTTCAAGAGCAAAAATGAGTTTTTATCGCCCTCAAAACTGATAGAGTTTTAATAAAAATCTACGTCAAACTAAGTTCGCTCTTTTTTTTGTCTAATTTAAAATTGTACACTGGCGTAATTCTCTTCCAATTTGATTTTCGCTACCAATTGGTAACAGAAGTTTCTTAAAGTTTTGGCAAATATATTTTTGCTTCTGAATCTGGTCGCCATCAAAATGGACAGTGTTTTATTACAAATTATACGCTATATAACGGTTGCTTTTTTTCATAATTTTAAGTATAAAAAACTGAGCTATTTTCTTTAATATTTTTTGCACTTACCATTTTACTTCTCATGCTGACTCTTACATATAAAGGAACTAAAATTCACAATTCACTTTGGATTTCTTTTTGTGCGGTTTGTAATGAAAATCGATTGATAACTAATTAACGTATTTCTTGTACAACATCTAATTGCTTCCAATTTTGGAATGAATTTTTAAATTCTATGCTTGCTGTCGACAATAGATTAAAAACACGTTATAGTATGCATAACATCCCTCCCCCATAAAGCTAAATTCTTGTTGCAGTTTGCTGAACCTCTTTTTACAGATCAGGTTTTCTTTCACGCAATAGACTTGTAATTAATGATTACTAATTAACGTATTAGTTGTCAGTTTCTTGCACAAAATCTAATTGTTTCCAATTTTGGAATGAATTTTCAAATTCTACGCTTATTATCGACAATACATTAAGAACACATTAAAGTATATATGACATCATAAAGCTATATTCTTGTTGCAGTCGACTGTACCCCTTTTTTGTACATAACAGATCCGTTTTTCTTTCAGGCAGTAGATTTCCACTTGTTATTGGTTTGTAATTTACGTATTAGTGGTCAATTTATAGCACAGAATCTAATTGTTTCTAATTTTGGAATGAATTTTCAGATTCTACTCTTGGTGTCAACAATACATTAATGAATTTCAATACACACACATATATGTATATAAAATAAAAACTAGTAGCGGCCAATTAGTTAATATAAACATAAATTAAAAGCTTTTGTTTAAAAGCTTATCTAGCTAGAAATGTTGAAAAAAATTATAAAATGCAAGTAAAATTTTTCTTTACGTGTTTTTTTGTTTTTTTTTTTTTTTTTTTGTTTTTTAAAATACTCTCAAAACAATATTAATATATGAATAAATTATAATATATTTTCTAAAACACGTATAATCAATATTAATAATATCAATTTGCAGTTTTATTCATTTTTTCAAAAAGCAAATTTTGGAATTTGAACAGACATAAAGCATTTTATTTAAAACCAATCAGCAGCATATATGATTTTTTCTCTTCTTTTAGCCATTTATTCTCGCATATAAATTGCATTTAAAATTGATTTAGGTGTATTTTAATTAATTAATGTTTGTTTCAGCACGATTTCAATAGTGCTACAGTCAGAAACTTGATCACTTTCACTACACACCCTCTTTCTGTTCGTGCCTTATCACAAATAATTTTGATTTTTGGAGACGCATAGCAAAGTTGACTGGTAATAAACATAGAACATACAATTTTTGAGACAATGAACATACAATTAACTGAGGATACTTTCTGTTTCATTATCAGTTGAACAGTAGTCTTGATTTCAGCAGCAGTTGAAATTTTGCATAAATTCATGAAACTTCAAAAATTATCCAAAACTTATCTCATTTTTAAAATTCCGAATGAAAATGCGTAACTGTGTTCGTTTTTGTTAAACATTTTATGGTATGCAGAGTTGCCACTCCCTCGGTAGATTCTGGAAAATCCTAGAAAATCAGAAAAATGAAAAATGCTCTTGAAAATTTAGGAAATATATGAACGTTTTCCACTGGAACACTAGGAACGTCTTTCAAAATTAATTATTGTAATTGTAAAACTAATAATTGTAGTAATAAACGAATAGTGAATTTAAAAAGGTGGTTGTACATAACTAATAATATTTAAATACTTTTTTTCCCGAGTTCGGTGTAATTTTAGGATCTTTGGATTTATTTTGAAATGCGAAAATAATAATATTTTTTACGAACAATGTGCGAAATATAAATCGTTTGCAAAATAAACAGCTTTTTCTTTCTCTAAGAATCGTGTTTACTAGTTTGAATGGCATAGATATACACTCATTTGCCTCTAAGTTGTAAGTAAAATAAATTGAACTTTTATAATGTTTTCAATTATTGTATTATATTTTGAAGTAGTTGTGCAAAATTCTTCTGCTACTCACATTTAACTTGATATTTAGCTTATTATGTTTGGTCGGTGAAAGTGTTCTTTTTGATCGAGAAAATGCAAAATTGAATTTCAGTAAGAACCTAATTATGTTACGTATAAAGTATCTGCTAATAGCAGAGATATTAATTGTAACCTGTACAAGTAACTGTAATGTATTATACTTAGAAAAACGTATGTGAAGTATAAATTATTTGTCTAAAAAGTGTGGAAGATTTATATTCCTCTAGTTACAAAACAAAAATATTATCTTATAAAAATTTTGTTAATGACATACAGTTAGTTCACGCAAATTAGCTTTATAAAATAATATTTTTATAAAATTCATTTAATGTTTTTATGATTTCTGCAAATTTTTAATACTTATATGCTTATATGATACATGTCGTCTTATGAAACTTAAAAATATGCTGAATATTTGTTGTAAATAATAATTTTATTATCCCATTTTATTGCTATTTCGCACCGTATTACTTTATCATTTATATAAATATTTACGTAATACTATACTGTGTTTTGTTAATTTTAGAATATTAAAACTACTTGGTAACTTGGTGCTACTTGGTAAACCAATCAGAATTTTTTTTAAATTAGAATTTTCATTGCTTTATTGTATTGCATTTTCGTCTGCTTTAGTGTTAGCTATCGAAGCTTAAAATAACTTTCTATCTGGCAAGTGATAAACTCAGTAGTAATTCCATAATAATTTTGAGAGTTTAAGAAATTTTATATTGATAGATTCTCTTTCTTTCTATAAATGTCATTTTATTTCAATTTCATACTATACAATGGTCTTTTACTTTAATCCGTTAATAGTCGTGAATTATAAAACAGGAAAATGAGATATGCAGCTCTTATTTTCTAAGCTTATCTTCTATTTATTATAGAGTTAACTGAATGTTACGGTTTTCTAAAGCACGTTTTCTTCGCAAGAAGATAAATTATATTAACATTTAATAATTATGAAGACTAATTGAATAGTTTAGAGAACAATTTCATTAGCAGTATTTTGTTCCCATTCTTTTCGAATTTTCAAGTATAAAGTCTAGGAAAAAAGTGCAGTAGGAAAACCGTAGGTGTCTTTTTACAGATATACACTTTTTTTACTGTTTCTGTAAATTGTTACAAATATTCAAGTTATTTTATGAGGGAACATATTAGATCACCACATTTATTTATGATGTTTCTTTATTTTGTAAATAATTAAATGAATAATAAATACTATTTTCAATATTTTTTAATCTAATTTCGATATTACGCTTAATGTTAGATGATATACATTTCTGACTAATTTTTACTTAACTTTTAATACTTTAGTTAATGAAATCAATACATCTATTTAAATAATTATTTTTATTAGAAATCTGTTGTTTTGCAATAAGCTCCCGGTTCGACTAATTTCTCACTTTTAGAATAAAATCTCAGTTTTAGCAGAAGTGCACCGGAATACAAGCAATATGAGCTCTGGTCATATAGGAGTGTTAAAAAAATTTCTAAATGACTTACAAGTGGCGTGTGAGCTTAAAAGGTGGTAAAGATAATTAGTCCCCTCTCCAGGGTTGGCTATTGAATGCCGGCTTCTCCACTTCCTTAGTAAGAGAAAGTAGTTCCTTAGAGAGAAAGTAGTAGGTTTTACTCCCTTTTTACTGTGTCCCTTCGTGGTGTAACTGGGAGGCACGTCCAGCTAGCAATTGGAAAGTCCGGTGTTCGAATCCCGGGGAGAACATTGCACATTTTTCACTTTTGCTGGCTTTGAAAAATGTTTAGTGATCTCTACAGCTTTCCCTTTTATTCTGTTCCATTGCAGTTTTACGATGATTTGTTTTAAAATTTTGTTTTAAAAAAGCAACCATGGTTTGGTGTATATTTTTAATTAATTTCTATCCATTTCAAGTACGATGAGACATAGATCTTTCTCTTCTTCAGGAATAACAAACAAGGAAGAAATGAATTTTGCAAAAGTGTTTTGCCCTTGAAGTAGAAGGACTCATGTCTCATCGCCTTAGAAATCAGTAGAATTTTATTCAAAAATTAACGCTAAGCTTCTCTTTTGCTTAAATTTTAGTTTAACATGTTTCCCTTTCAGTTGTATTAATTTAATTTAATTTCTTACTTCTCTAATTATGATTAATTTATATACGTTTAAAAGCATTTTGATTCATCTTTTTATATTTATTTTTTATTTTTACTTATTTTATTCATTTATTTCCCTTCTCCATCCTGATGTCTTTCATAGGATTCTGGAACTTTTAGTTTTAGAAAATGACTCTGCATATAGCTGTAACATTTCAGTTACGCAAATTTCTTTTCATATATACCGTTTACCTTTGAATATTTAAATGTATTTACTATGAAAGTTCTTCTAGTTTGATTAACTGTCTGTCGCAATTTATATACAGCGTATGTCGATGCATTTCTTGCTTGATTCATTGCTGGTTGCAGTCTGTGTGACATTTACGACATTTGTGTTTTAGTTTAATGATATTTCAACCGGGAACGATT